TTTTTTATTTGTCATTTTTATCAACAAAATAATATTTCTTTTTAAAATTAAATAATGTTGTTTTTTGCTTACATCACGACATTGTATTGATTGTATAAGTATAGATGAAGTATGTATCATTTTTTCTCAAGACATTATTTGTCTTCGTGACATTATTCCAACTTATGAACAAAAAGTAAATAAAAAATCTCTGTCATTTATTTCCGCATCACACCTTTTCAGAGTTAATAAAAGACTCATCCTTATTGCATTTTAATGAATAATACAATTTATGCCATTACTTATAAAAAAAATTTAATATTTTTTTTCAATATGTAAAAAAAGTTAACAGGAAAATGATTTCGATCAATATTATGTCTTAAGAAAAAAAAGAAAGAATAAAAAGCAATAAATACAAAATTTCTATTTCATAACATTTTAAGGGATTTTTAAATGGATTATAGTATTATATCATTTTACCACTAAAACACAAATCTAGGGCAATTTAGAAACAAATATATTTCTTGCTGACAAACACAAACGCAAAAACGAATGCCCTTCAGAAAAGTCTATATGACCTTGTATACTGGTTTTCCAATAACTGTTACTCAATTAATCAACGAGGATAGAAACTGAGAAAACCAATGGACAAAAAGTTCACAGCAAAAGTAATACATTAGACAGTCGACATTTTAATGATTGTAGTGGTATAACTCATTATAAATGCGGCACCATACTTAAGTTTCAATCACACTCTTGTGTTACCAACCGCAATGACATTTTCGTTTTGTAGTAGAACAAGCAGATCATTGCTGTCGTATAAACGATATTATTTGACTTATCAAAACAGAACATGTGTCAGTAATGAAGTAGTTCCGAATGAGTAACAAGCGTTTCGATAATCTTGAGACAAAAACAAAACATGCCAAGACGTATCTTTATTTTTGTGCCTGTATTAAAATATTTATTTTTTCCAGAAATTTTATAAAAGGAAAAAGAAAATATATTTATAACTGCAAGAAAATGAAATATGTCCATTAGAGGTAATTGTCAAAGAAGAAAGAAATAATCACGTTCATGAATACAAATTTTCAGATGTTTTATATACTTTTTGAATATTTCAACATCGTCCTTCTTAGGTATAATATCTTTTAAAGTTGAAAAATGGCCGACACGAGTCAATTTTTACTCTCACACATTGTCACAGCGATGACGTGAAAGATGTTTTTAGTCTAGAAAAGAGGAAAAAGTCACAGGATGCCAAGTAGATTATATTACTTAATATTTGAAATAAAATTATTTATTGTTCTTTAGGGTTAATACCTATAGCAGAAAAGTTTGTATGGTCACCGGTTCAAAATCTGGTCTTATTAAATAGTTTGTTAAATTACAGTGACGGCCAAATTCGTGTATCCGTAGAAAAACTTAGTAAAGGTTAAAAATACAATAGCCGATATTTTTACATTGTTTAAATTTCTCAGGCGTGTTAGCGTGAGAAAATTAGCCCGCTTAACAGGCCACACAAATTATTTCAATGTCAATTGTGATTGGTCACGTGACTCAGATAATGACAAGTTGTTTAAGTATAGATATAGTAAAGGCGTAAAGTTGGGACTGATATATTATTTTGTCAGACAAATTCTTGTCTCAGATTGATTTTTGGCAGAAGCATTTTGAATGTTTAAATGGTAAAAATATCTGAACCCATAAAATGTACGAAAAATGCTTATTCTGATACAAGTTGTAATGGTTATGCTGGATATAAAGTGACAGTAGCAAATAGTGTTTCTCATAGTATTTGGTCTGTAGAGGAATATGCTTAGTCTTCTACATGACGAAACTTGCTGCAGTTTATAGGGTTCATAAATCTATAGTACATTTGCTTACACATCAGAGAGTATATGGTTTACAGGCAATCAGGGTGTTGTTAAGGCTCTATGAAATCAACCATTTGCAATGTCTATATATAGAATTTGCATGATGAATTCTGTTGTTTTTTATATCGAATGGATACCTTGTAATGAAAATGAAATAGCTGATTTCTTTCTTGTCTAGAATATTGGAATATTACGATTGGGATAATTTTTCAGCACTTGTGCTTACACTTTAAAATAAATATGTTATTTTCGAAGTAGATAGGTTGACACGCGTTTAATTATTTCTTCTTTTATAAAAGATTTTCAGAGTGACAAGGATGAAATAGAACAGCTTTCGGAGATCCTGGCGGGGAAAATGAAAGTACTCCCCGATATTCTTTTATTGTGATAAGCACTTGGCATTAGTCGGAAGCATGAAAGTGGATTTAATCGATTCAGAAAGTGGGCTCTTACTAACGGTTTGGGAAGTGGGTATACTTTACCTGCTAGGGCATTTCCGGTTGCACTTCTTATCTAACATCTTAAATTCAGTCTGCAAATAGTACAAGTCCAGTGATAAGTGCTTATCATTCTTCAAAGTGGTTTCATGATATTAGCGGTTTGTGTTATCCAACCAGTTCGTCTTAAGTTATCAATATCATTGAAGCAGCTAAATAAATTTTAGCAATAACAAATAGTTAAGAAAGAAGTCATGACTGAAGACATTCTTTCCGCCTAGTATAAAAGATACGATTTATAACAGCAGCGTATAATTTGAACTAATGCTTTGGGGTTTTAAGAATTTTACGCAGCGCTGAATTGTTAAACATTGTTGTTTCAGATCTAGTATTTAATCCAATTTATATACGCTTTTTTGAATAAAACTAGTAAGACGGATATATATAGAGAGAGATGGCTATCTAGAGCTGGTACAAAGTTGTGCCCAGTTGTTAATCTTGAAAAATATAAAAGCTGGGAAAATTAGATTCAAGTTATTTTTTGTTTTGTAATATTAGTAAGACTAAAATGGATTTAAGAAAAAAAAAACGATTAATATGCCAATGTTATTATCTAATTTGAGAGATGAATTTAGATACGCTTTCATGATGCATGCAAGTGACATTTCTAAATATTGCCTGCTTTCGTACAGGTCAGGCGGGGCTTCAGCAGCGGTAAATGATGGAATTAAATACAGAATGTTTAAACGTCATGGTCGCTGGATATGGTTATGGTAATGGTTATTTAAGAGAATTTTAGAAAACGGTTGTCAATGTTTTTATCATCATAATTGTGATTGATTGATTGATTGATTGACATATATTTGAATGCATAAATATTTTGTTTATTTATGTGTATATTAAGCTTATTATGTTTGCTTTATTACATACAAAAATGTTTACCCGCTTTTTGAATCCAGCCGAATTCCCAAGTGTTTTCTACAAGTGACAAGTTAGTGATTTAATTCAGTCCTTTTTACATTATTTTGGAAATATGGTGGTTGAAAAGACACATAATTTTCTTAATTTGAATGTAATAAAATAGTACTAAATTTAATTTCCTTTGTCTGATATATATTTTCAGTAGGTATCGCCATTTCATTTGTATTATTATGCACGAAGTTAACATTTTTTTTTTACATTTAGTATATTTTATATATTGTACCGGTTAAGCCGGTTGTCCAAGTGCTGCAAACAAATTACAAGTAAGTAATTTATTTCATTTGTTTGTCTTTATTTCGGAAAAATGATGGTTGAAGGAAAAATCATTACCGTTATATACTTTCTTACATAGTGGAGGAAAGAAACACAAAAACATTTTGCGAAGCTGCCATGAAAATTGTTTCTTCCAAGCTTACTGCTCTACCGCTTGAGCTTTTGCGACAATTATGACTTACAATTGACAGTCAAACGTACAATAAATGAGGACGTGAGCAATTTCATTTACCTATATAGTATTGAAATGTACTGTTCCGTACTATAAATATAAAGAAACGTGTTTACCAAAACAAAAATATTGACTGTGTGTATTCAAGTGACAAATTTCCTACACATTGAGAAATTCAAGTGTCAACTTCGCTACACATTGATAAATTCAAGTTTCAAATTCCATGAATTCGCTACACATTGAGAAATTCAAGTGTCAAATTCGCTACTCATTGAGAAATTGAAGTGACAACTTCGCTACACATTGAGAAATTCAAGTGTCAAATTCGCTACACATTGAGAAATTCAAGTGTCAAATTCGATACACATTGAGGAATTTTATCGGTACATGTATAAATCTGTTCTGTTCTATTCTGTAAATACATTGAATATATCCTGTCGTATCGGGATTTTTCGAAATACCTCGTGAATATCAAGCCATAGCTCAATAAGCAATTCTTCCGTTAACCGTCGTTATTCGTTACAATTCGTACTAACGCCTACGGAATTTTCAGTTATAAAACAAATCAGCCATCTCTTACAAAGAGAATGATGAACTTGCTGAACAAAAATAAAATCAACAAAATTTGGAAATAATTTTCTGTACAATAATATTCTTGATAAGTATTTTAAATATAAAATGCGCTTAAATATTGTCACAAATATTTATGAAATATTAAGTACGTATCATTATTAATATGCAAATCATTAACAGTCCCCGTATACATACTGCAACTTAACTAAATAGATAAATATATAAGAACATATTTACATGTAAAACCAAAATCATAGAATGCCAGGACAAAATTATGCAACTTAGGTATAAAATGGACCTTTCCAGTGTTTACAGGTTCATGCTAATTACCTTGCTGTCTAGATTAAATTTGCTGCACTGGAATAATACATTACGGCCGGTACACTCTTGCGCATCGGACGAATGTTCCACTAACCTTGTTTGAAGTATCGGTAGTTTATTCAATTAACTGCTAAGGGAGCTTAAGTCACTGGTAGACCTAGTTTACACTAAAGAACACATGGTTTTGTTTGTGGTACTGTTTATAAGTTGTTGACCTTGTTATAAACGGAAAAGTCGAAGATAATGGTTTCATTTATAAAAAACTGGAAAGGTCAATGCAGAACAAACTGCTCAAAGAACTAAGTGTTATGTATGAAAGCGTCACTTTTGTTGTTGTTGTTTTTCCAGACACGCTAACACCGTAACCTTTTAATTATAGGGCGTAGACTTTTGTATGGTGATCTCGATGGTGGTATACAAATGGAATGTTCGTTTAGAAAATGTAGCAAACATTGTCATTCGAAGTGTGTTTACAGAATTAACATTTGGCTTACAATATAAGATATTATGCAATATATAGCAATAAAAAAACTTTACAAAAAAGGAAAAAGGACATTGAATACATCCATATTAAATGTTTTCGACAACATTGTATTTGTTTGTCCTAATTTATTTTAAGTGTATATTAGTATTATCTATTTATCGAAAGTGACGAAAGAAATACTGTAGAAGATTGCGTTTCCAATTGTTTATATTCGTGTACCCTCCTTTCTATGTAAAACCACCTGAAAAATATATGGTAGTGCAGAAATGAAACATCGTGAGCACATTAAAAATATTACAACAGCTGTCAATGATTCTTTAAGTGTTTAAATCTGTACAGATAGGAACAAAGCTTTTTTATGAATTTCTTAACAAATGAGTATTTTCAAATAATCAACTAATAAAAGATTATGTTTGTTTTTGTTAACAAAACGAAAATATTTGTTTCGTTATTGCTATTTTTCTGCCAATGCCTTAAAAATAAGCTTGTAAAGAAAGGTTATGGAAGAGAAAAATAGAAAAAGCATTTAAATATTTTAACTCAAATTTGGCTAACAAAAAATTAAAAACAAAAACGAGTTTCAATTCCATTTTGAGTATTTCTTTATTATATTTTGCATTATTTTTTGTTTTAATTGATCAGAAAGTATGTAAGATTTTCCAATTAAATATTTCAGGCTCTTGGACTCAATGGATTTCCTGTTAATTTGTCAATAACTAACTTTAATATCCAAAGCGGTATTCAAATCCTTATATTATCATAAAGATATAACAAAAAGATACCAACCTGAAGCATAAATTTCCATGTCACATATCGTGATAAACCATTCAGGTACATTTGGTGGTTTTGGACGAGTGATTTTAACATTTTTCACCTCCAGTTGGCTACCTTTTACAGCCACAATATTTTTACTAGCGTCGAACGAATATGCGCTTTGTGGTAGCTTTATACCGTTAAATGCAATTTCAAGATTCTTCAGGTTTTTTGGAACTATTAATAAAAGTATTCAGTTTAGTCGATTAGGATAAAATAGAAATGACTAAAACATGATATTCTAAAAATGTTTATGCACTTGTGCTACCAAGGTACAGTGAAATAAAAGATATGACCAACTACATGTATATGAATTACGACATCTTTTTGAATCTAACGCATTATAGTGACAAGGTCAATAACTTCTTTGCTACACTGTAAATGCAAATTGAGAGTGTATTTGATATAATTATTTCTAAAATAAAGTTTTATTTAAAGGCCCCATATAAATGCTTTCATTTTTATTTCAAAGGTACATTATATTTAGTATCCAGTGATAGTTGCCAAATAAGTTACAAGGTGGCCTTAAACCGGAACTATAGTTTGCTTCTATTGCTTTCTTGTTGTTTCAAACCATTAGTTCATCGTGCGCCATGACAAAACCAACATAATGGGTTTGCGACCAGCATGGACCCAGACCAGCCTGCGCATCCGCGCAGTCTGATCAGGATCCATGCTGTTCGCTATTTGTTTCTCTACTTGTTATAGAGTATGTAAGCGAACAACATGGATCCTGATTAGACTGCGCGGATGTGGGTTTTGTCGTGACGCAGCTCATATTTGCCCCTTGTAAAGAAAGAAAAATAATTCGTCTCGGACGCATAACGCATATTATGCCTTTAAACTAAATAATTTAGTTTAATAACCTTGAAACATCTGACCATCAAATCTTCCTCGTAGGTACATACTGTCAACGACGATTGGTTTTGTTAATTGAACCTCCACAAATGGAAACTCTTCCGATAGGGAATGAAAACATGGATATCTTATTTCAGATATGTCAGCACTGAATATATTCTCCTTTACATTAGTTACACCCCCATAAGTTAACGTTGAAGAAACTGTGATTGTGGACTCTTTAAGTACAGAATATGGCACTTTGGTTGCTACAATATACAGATATATGGATTGTTGAACATAAGAACGTAAGAACAATAATGTATTTTGTATCAATCATTCGTCAATAAATGGAAATCAGAACACTACATGTATATAAATTTATGAATATTAAGGTTTTTGAAAGCCTTGGACTTTTCTATTTTTCTTTAGAATAATTAATGACACACATATTCGGCACATCCATCCAATCTATATTTTGATACTTAAGGTTAATTCGAATTACATTCAGCACAGTGTTTTAAGAAGTAAATAACGAGCAAGGTGTTCAAAAGATTATTTTAGTTGCGTTTAACGTCGCACCATCCCAGTATAAGTCACCTGACGACTTTCCTTATCAGTAACTAATTATTTTATGATTTTAGTAGTTAGCCAGCCCATGCCCTTGTGCCCTGTCCTGTTTTTGTTTTGGGGTCCTCCTGGGCTCCTTGCCACTGGCTCTTGTTGTTGGGTCGAATGGGGGTTGTGTTCATTGAACGCCGCCCTTCCTTGTTGATCTTGTTTATCATATTTCCAACTTTACCGGTGGGGGAAGAAGCCAAGTGCCCCTCCGTTTATTATTTCAAGCATACATAGGCACCCGAGTAGAGCCACCGACGTTCTATTAGCTAGCTGGATAGTTTCCTCACATAAACAAAAATCTATAGCCCTTGACTGAACTCTAACCATTTATAACAACATTATATGCTTGGCCAGTGACACCCTTTTTAATTGTTAATAAAGGGCGGAAAACAATGTGAACCAAACCATGCTGAATTAAAAATGCCATATTGACCAATATGGTCATCAAAATCGCCAATCATACCTGGTAAAGTCTCGTAACACCGGTCAACACCGCTTTTACTTTCTTTACAGCCAGTTCCAAATGGACACTGCAAAATTATAAGACGTCAAGGTTATAAGTATAAGTAAAGAAAAAGGAAACAAAATGGGTTTTAAAAATTAAAAAAGGAACATTATAGAACTCTCATCCGGATAAACTCGTTAAAAGAATCATATTTTTGTACACTGATATATTGTCATGAATCAGGCATATGTATATCTGTCAAATAATTGATAATACCACTACTGAACGGGACTGTCTCACATTTCGCTGAATCCGGCGCTACAGAAAACTAATGGACAGAAGCGCCAATACTATGACATAGGCATGCACATGTAAAACCTAGCTTTCTTTTTGCGTTGACTTGAGTTTACATACACACACTTTGTAACTGATGTGGTTTTGAACCATTAGCATTGGCTTTAAAAAATACGCATAACTGCACTATTATTTGGTCTTGTTACAACTAGCCTTTCTTGCTTTTTCCCCAACTATTCATCCTATGTTTCTCATTCCCATCCGAAAGCGTTTACCTTAACAGTTAACACTCTACCTAGCTAGAGTTACTTTTTTTTCTAATGCGTTTTTTAATATACTGTCCAAAACAGTTACAGTTAAACTTTGTTCGCTTGAACTCGGATCGCTCGAATACCTCTTTTCGCTAAAACTCATCGCCGAGTCCCGGCAAAATTCCTAAATTATATATATTGTTCTACCTCGGATGGCTGCACATATTCATTATCCCTCATGTACATACTCAATCGCACCGAGTCTGCAATTATCTTGTATTTTTGTTGTGATTATTGCTTCCGAGGGATCACTTTGTTTCCAGATTTTTATACTTCACAATAGCAGGTGTCAAATGATGTGTGGAAGCTGTAAAAAGTTGCCCCGGGACTGGTATGCGAGACATCATCTTGATGTTGTAGACATTTATGGCAAGTTATTTTAAAATCCTTCAATGCATGACAATGTTAAAGTTTGGTAACTTATCACCCTTAGGATATGTTGCCTGCTTTTTAAATTTGTCTTTTGACGTCTTATCTGTGATATGCAGGCTTCATAACCTCAGATCCCCTTTCAAAATTCCATTTTATTTAGTTCCGCCAATTGTTTCTCGTTTAGGGCACACGCATTCTTTAAATTGGGGACCATACGCCGCTTTTCATGGAATGACACTACTGTGTCACATTGAAGGTTCCATGAAAACCGCCGTATGAACACATCTGCGGTTGTTTTTAAATTCAAAATTTCACCATTTTAGTGTTTTAAATGTTGAATTCTGCTTAAGCCGGTGCTAGGGGGCGTAGACGGTAACTTGCACTTGCCAGTACCGTCCATGAACAGGCTCAATCAAACCGAGCCTGCAACATTTTCAATTTTGTCGTGTTGGGCTTTCTTTAGGGATTCTGTATACCTCTATTTTATCAAACTTTTCTTAGTATAAGTACCTTCAAGCTATAAAAGTGACCTTGACCTTTGAGGTAGGAACATGAGTCTTATACACAACAAGTGTCAAGTTATTTCAAAACCCTTCGATGCATGACAAAGTTTTATTCTGTATATGAATGTGTGTACCTATAATTTCTAATTGTGATAGCGCGAACCTTCAAAATATAAGTGTGACCTTGACCTTTGAATAAGGACGTGGTTTTAGGATGCCACAAACATTGTCTGTCATGTAACAGACACCAAGTTATTTTAAAATCCATCAATGCAGGACAAAGTTACAGTCTGGACTTGATTGTTGTGTAAGTGAGGACTCACGGATGGACAGATGGACTTAAACCTTAGCCACGATACATCGCCTTGATGTGATTCACATTTGTGCATAGTTGTTTTAAAATTCTACATTGCATGACAGTGTAACAGTCTTGACAAGAATGTGTATCTTCAAACTCTTCTCCAGAGAATGAGTACCTTCAAACTAGATGTGTTACCTTGACTTTGAATGTAGGAACAGAGGTATTGTACATGAGGTATTTTTCTTTGGGGTCCTCCTGGGCTCCTTACCGATGGCGCTTGTTGCTGGGTCGGGTGGGGGCTGCGTTCATTGAGCGCCGCCTTTCCTTGTCGATCTTGTTCATCATATTTTTTAAACTCGACATGTCGTCTTGATGTGGTTGACATTTATGCCTAGTTATTCTAAAATCATTCAATGCATGACAGAGTAACAGTCCGGACACGAATGTGTGTACCTATAAACTCTTAATGTGATAAAGTAAAACTTCAAAATGTAAATGGGACCTTGACATTTGAGATAGGGACGTGATTCTTGGACGCGACACATTGTCTTGATGTGGTGGCGCTTGTTGCTGGGTCATATGGGGGTTGCGTTCATTGAACGCCGCCTTTCCTTGTTGATCTTGTTTTTCATATTTCATAATTTATGCCAAGTTATCCTAAAATCCTTTGATACATGACAAAGTTATAGCCGGACACAATTGTGTACCTATAATCTCTAATTGTGATAATGTGAAATTCAAAATGGTAGTGTGCCCTTGTTAATGAAGGGACGCAACGTTTGGACGCGACACGTCGTCCTGATGTTGTAGACATTTATGCCTAGTTATTTAAAAACCCTTCGATGCATGACAAATGTGTGTACCTATTACTATTACCTAATTGTGATAATGTGAAACTTCAAAATGTAAACATGACCTTCCTTCAATGTATGACAAAGTTACAGCCCGGAAACGAATGAAGTGAAAACGCACGGACGGATAGAAAGACAGACGGACGGACTGTGCGATTTTAATATGCCGCCCTCGGGGCTTAAAAAGCAAACAACAAATTACCCAAAAAGCTCCGTATTCATTTTAATTTTCGTTTGCCTCGAGTTTGGAGAATGAGCAAACCAAGAAACATTACATTTTAGCCAAAATACGTTACAAAATACGAACTGTTTGATATCCGATTCTTTCTAATCCCAGTTTACATCTTTGTTTACAGCTTGAATACACTTGTACGATTGAAAAACACAAAATCAAACTCTGAAAACAAATACATCAAAGTATAAAAAGGCATTCAATTTAAATTTAACATAGCTAGATTCTTTGACAAGAAACTATCTGGAAATGTATTTTTTTTTCGCAAAAATAAAATAATGTGTTAGTGTGATAGACCAGTATTTATTTTTTTGAATAAATAAAGATTGTTAGCGAACTATTGCTCAGGTATTACTATGCATATAAGTAGCACCAAATTTGTTGATGTAAAAGCTGTAAATTTTGTTTACAAAATACATTTGATATGAAAGGATAACACATTCATATTTTAAACCAATAGTGTATTGCAGTTGTTTGGTCACGCAACGATAAAGACAACGAAAGATGTTTAGTTAAGACTTAATATTTTTCCTGTATGAAATCAGATTTTAATTTCGAATTCAATATGTCACAATATTATTAATCGAGCCAGGCCAGTTGCAGGTGGTTATTCTCTGCTATATAACGATTTGTATCATCAGAACATTTATCTCTCTAACTAACAACATGCATTTTGTATTATTTCTAATAGTTGTTTGTATCATACATGATATTTGATACTTGAAATTGTAGATGGAAATTCAATTGCAAGCTAGTTTTGAACTTTCGTAAAGCTTTAATACTGTTTTTTTTTTATAAAAAATAAAATCAATTTCAGCTTGCTTTTAATTTCCAGCCATCCCTGAGGAAGACCTATAACTGTTTGAAGGACAAATATCGTTCTTCCGTCAAACTCAGTGCCGGGTCTGACATCGATATTACAAACGAAAATAGTACAAGCATAGCAGTCAAAGATTACTCTGTAAGCGATGATCAAATGTTGTTTTTGAAAGCGATTATTGAGCTAGACGTGTTAAACCAAGAGCAAGCTTTGAAATCAATATTTAATGCAAATATCTTGCCGACTTGAAATACAGAGTGAAATCAAGCATTGAGATCAGAGCTGGCTCTGAGATTGGTCAATATTTGATTGTTTTAACTGACACATTCAGAGTTAGCATCGAATCTGAGAGCCAACTCTTGAATCTATATTAAAATCATTAGAAGAAAGACAACATCCGACTAGCAATAAACTCCGAACTGGCCCTGAGATCGACTTTATTTTTTTTCTAATATTGCAAATATCATTCAAGCAGAGCCATCTCTGAGATCGGTATTAACAACTTATTTATCATACAAATATTTAGCTGGACTCAAAGGCAAAGCAAGTCCTGAGATCATAATTCCATTGAAAAATAAATATCGAGCTTGCATTCAACTCAAGAAGAGCTATTATCGAATTCAGAGCAAGTTCTTAGGAATATATATAAAAGTTAGGCTTGCTTTAAGAATGATTCGAAACTCTAAACACATTGAATATTGTACTATCACCGACTTTAGCACCGACTTCAGACTCAAATGTGATATCGCGTTAAATGTTGAAAACTATTGTCAGAGGTTGATGAATTCAATGTTAGCGCTATGCAATGATTGGTCTTTACAGAATCATAAATGACAACATCACAGCTGAATCTGAATTCAATGCTCGAACGATATTCGCCATTCTATTTTGAATTCAGAGCTGGTCTGAATTTTGGATCAACTCTATATGTCAGATCAGAATCTTAATAACATGCTAACACAATATTCATTTTTTAAACTACCTCAGAATATTTCAGATATTGCTCTGAATTCGATGACTAGTGATATTCTCGTATTCTATTAAGTACCGATCTCATGGCTGGTTCTGAATCCTGGTGCAAGGACGATATTTGTCTGTTTTAAAAGTTTAATTTCTTATTCTAAGTCAGAGCTGGCTCTAAATATCTGCGGAGCCGCAATTTTGATGGTTCATGATATAATTTAAGTTAAACAGGCCGTTAACACGTGTGAAATAAGCTTAATTTGGAACACATATTTTCTATTTTATGTGAAATAATTTGATGATTTTTATTACATATTTCATATAGTCAGTGTTTTGTAAAGGTAACAAAAATATAAACATGTAGGTTCATACACATTCAAATACTTTAAAACACCATTTATTTGCGTATCTTAGGTCTAGAACAATTTAATAGTCAATGAAAACGCATACGCAAACTTTAAATCGGAAAATCGCTTTTTCTTTAGTACTTGGTGCATTAGCTTCGTAATCACAAGTAAAATTAAATAATGTTTACCTAAGTGACATTAATCAGATCTTGGCAATGTGATTTATTATTATGTTAGACCTTCATTTCTTGAGGTATTAGAAAAATATCATTGAGTTGGGTCAATGATATTGAAATCAAACTTATTGCCATATAGATCGAGTATTACTGAAACCGGTGTTAGGGTGGCGTGGAGAAAGCTGAATGTCTTCATTTCCGTTTTGTACAAACCGAGTCTGCAATTTTCATGTAATTAAGTTGTGATAAATGCTTCCGAGGAATCACCTATCTCAAGATTTTACATCTTGGTCGTTAATATTCCTTTAATTTAATAGAAATAAATAGTCATTGCAGATACGTTTGGGTTTATTTTTTAACCTTTCCGCTCTATGTATTTTAAAATTATTGCAGACAATAATCAGCCGAATAATCCATGTCTGTACTGACCGCTTTGGAAGACTCAATTTCTACTGGAAGGTTTAACGGGCAGGTTCGTCTGCAATCTTTAAGTTTTTGGAGGAGTGGTGCATTTCTTTTAACATAATTATTTCATTTTATTAGATGTAATTTTATGAAAGTGAAATGTTATTTGAGTTGATAAAAGTCGACTGTGCAATGCCATACTTTAAATAATAAACTTTTATGAACCGAGGAAAATGGTATGTTCGTTGGTGCGTTAGGGAGGATAAAAGATGCATTAGTTGAATGATTGTAATAAAAATAGTTTACATTTTAAATTTGATAATATTACTTTTTTACATACTGCTAAATCGTGGCAACATTTTGATATTACCACGCCTTAAGAGCTCCATTAAATTGTAAAATATAACTTTAATCGAGGTCGTGAAATATCATTATCATCGGGTCGTTAAATGTCATTTTAATCGGGTCTTCGTTTAAATTCAATGACTTGCAAAACTCCGATTACATAAAATAATGCTTTGCATCATAATGGCGAAACCAAACTTAAGTCATTCGATATATTCGCAACATTGTTTGTTTGTATATTATCGATAATTCGATGTCTTACGACGATGCTTTATTTCGTGATGATACATTTATGTTTAGTGGACTTTCCAACCTGAACTGAATTTATTTTGCAGGCCTAATTAGTCCTTGTATTGCAAGAAGAACATTTTGTAAAAGCTGAATATCTCTCTCGCGTCAATTCTCTAACTGAAATACTCATTTATATAACTACTAGATATTAGAGTTTATATACAAATATTAAAAATGTTTTACACAACATGCTAGTTGATATTATTTTTTTTCTTAAGAGCAAATATTTTATACTGATAAATAGTTCTTTCATATAAGCAAACAATATACATGTTTAATGTTAGGCAAAATATCAGTACTGGAACAAAAAATACATTTATTCAACACGATACTCTATTGAAACAAATCTGTAGCACAGCATATCGTCCCTTTGTCATTTATTTCATAAATTTAATTTAAACATCATCTTACTTGTTCACTCATATTCACCGTGTCATTTCAATAAGAACACTGTATTGCGTAAAGTTTATGGTCCGTTGAAAAGATTAACATTTTTTCTAATACCCTTATACACTGTCGGGTACGTGAAACTGTGCAGATTTTCCTTGATAAGGTGCTTTCATCAAATATGGAGGAAGGTAAACAACAAGAAGGTACGTGTCATTTTATTTTCTATGTACATGTATTAGACAAATCCGTTTTAAATATTAAAAGAAGAATATTTGCATGTAATGTAAAATAAATTCACTATAAGATCAGTTAGTTCACAATGTATATTAAATATGATATATAATTATGAATTTTTACTAAAAACTTTTGTAAATAAAAGTACATGACATTTGAACCGAGAGAAGTGGTAAATTTTTTAGTCAATCTCCGAAAAAGAGGCACTTATATTGAAGTGAATACTCTTGTTTATTACAGTAAATGTATAAAATCATCTGTGCAATTTCAACATTTGTTCCGTCATTTTGTTTTGTCGAAATTTGTCTACTTTCTGTTTCGTCTGGACAACGGTGTAGACGCTAAGCAACGGCACGGACTTTCCGTAACCGTTGCTAGGTTTTATTTACAAAAGTTTTTTGTAAAACAATCATATATATCAAATGTTACATACATTGTGAACTTATTAATCTTATATATAGTGAGTTTATTATGTTACAATTCCTGTTTTACAATATAAGACGGATTTGTCTGAATACATAGAAATAAAATGACACGTACCTTTTGTTGTTTACCTTCCTCCATATTGGATGGAAGCATCGTATCACGGAAAATCTGCACCGCTTCACGCTCCCGACAGTGTATAAGGGTATTAGAAAAAAAAATGTTAATCTTTTCAACGGACCCATAAACTTTACGCAATACAGTGTTCTTATTGAAATGGCACGGTGAATATGAGTGAATACGAGTGTTATACGAGTACATACATAATGCATACATTTAATTATATATTTGTGGTACCCTCAAACTTATCTGGACAGAGTTTATGTTAAAATCTACCAAAATGTCAAACGTTTTCCTTTGCTTAAATATTATCGCACGTTTGGTCTGGTTAAATATAGTTTTCCAAATATTTGTTTTAGATTTCCTACTTGTAATGCAAAAACAGACCGGACTGTTAAATGCATTTTTGTACGTTGCATTCTAGGAAAACGTATGTTTGCACGTCTTATGGCGTGAGCTGTGACGTCAATAAACCAAATGACATAGGAAAATTACGTGTACACTTAATGAAGCTCAACATACTTCATCAATTTGCCTTTTAAGTTGTATGTTAGAATCGAAATAGATATTGATTGATATCTTGACATTTCTTGCATATCAGACATGATTATCTACCGTTTACACCGGTGCTAGAAAACCCTGTCTTACACCCCCATGTAAGACAAGTCGCCTGCTTTAAATGACGTCATTGCCGCGCGCCTTTTATAAATGATTTGCGCTCTTAGGATGACGTCATTTTACGGTAACCGTTATGAATGAAGTTCGATACGCACGATAAGAAAAAAGCGTAATGAGAATATCAATTTTTTATAATTCCTGTTTTGAAATTGATTGACATTTAATATGCAAGAAAAAAAATCAAACACCAGCTGTCAGTTCATACGAAAATATATAGCTCTCGGGTAACTGTTTTGCGGAAACTCGGAAGAGCCTCGTTACCGCCGTAAACAGTTACCCTCGAGCTAGATATTCCGGTCTGTACCGGCAGCCGGTGTAAGATTATTATATTACTTCCATTATAAAGTATCTAAGCAGCTGTAATTTGAGAGTCCTCTTAATTGCTATTGTTCTATAGAAAAACACAAACATGTAAACATATAAGATAGTCAAGCTTCTTTTCTCTCCTTTTTAAAAAAATAAAATGTGATTATTTTCATAAGGTATCTTAGCAGAGCAGCAATTAATTGACGACACATATTGAATACACATAGTTCAGAAATACTTGATGGGTTGGTTTAGAAAATACTTTGAAAGCAAATTCTGCCATGGAAATTACATTTTCTTTAATAAAGAACTACTTCGTAAAGGTAGATTGGTTTTTGTTAAAATTGCAAGTCACGGATTCATAGATTGGTTTTTGTTAAAATTGCAAGTCACGGATTCATCAAGAACTTCACTTTATTAGATATTGTTTGGGAGTGTTTTAGCATATAATTGTGCGTATCATATTAAATCGGTTGTTTGTTTTGTTGCATTGAGCAGATTGTAGTATAGGATTTAAAAAAAAGTCAGAAGTGCAATCAAGGCCGTATAAAAAGAAAGAAGCAATTGATTTACCGGAAAGAACCTACGAAAAAGACAATTTCAGCACGATATTACTATAATATAAAATTTGTTAAAAGTGCCTTGTGTACTTAAATAATTATTGAGATAAAGTTATTAAGAGTTCAATTTATCGTTAAATATGTTTGCATTTCATTTCCATATCACCAATCGGAACGTCCGAAAAGTTGCGTTTGCTCTTTCACAAAATCCGAATGCATTCCATAAAGGGCGTAGCCTTTCGGCGCGGACGCAATGAAAGTGTATGAGCGCAACAGTACGCTCGAACTTGCCTGTACAATTTTCAATTCACGTTATAATTCGTTTATCCCTAAGCGGTTTAAGGGACCGTTTAGGGAATATTGGAGCATCCTTTTATTGTTTTTAAACATCTTAATGGACCATAATGCCTCAAATTCCATATATATTAATGAAAATCTTTAGTAATGTTAAACATTTGTTAATTATGGATTTGGAGCATGTTAGATTTTTACGGCTGAAGAAAGAAGCGTTGAATGTACAGTCATGTGTCGTAACTGTTTCAAAATGTACCGAAGTACTATTTTGACATCCATACAAAATGCTTACTCACTCTGATTATACAAATTGCCAATAAAGCATATAAGCAAAGATAGATCATCTTTATTGCAAATAATAACAACAACAACAATAATAATAATAATAATTATAGTTTTTTTAAAAAAAACTGTAACAAGATACTAAAAAATTAAAGTTTTTGTAAAATAAAAATGATTGCATTTCTTAGGCATTATTTTAAACGAGTCTGAAATATGTCCATCATACTATACATTATTATTATTATTATTATTATTATTATATATTTCTTCAACGGCTTGAAAAGCTAAATCATTTTACCTGTATAAATAGACATCTGTAAGATATTGACATCGTGCAATCCAAAAGTTTTGTTCCAAAACAATACAAAGTATACAATTATTAACCAAGATTAGCCTGGTGTGTTTATTTTGAAATCAGTCTGAAATATATCCAAAACAGTGTTTATAGTTAGTATTTCAATGGTGCAATGAAAAGCGAAAAATATTAAAATTTTTGAATCTACGAAAACTTTGACATATATTTATACATTTCAGTGATCATATAAATTATAAAGTTAGTTTTAAAACGTTTCACTTGGGTGATTTTAAACATGCTCCATTTATATAGCTATACTACCTATCATAATACTGCAAGTTTGTAACGCTTGCATCGAATAATTTTGACAATTATATATATATATAACTATATCCACGACTGCCTTCAATTTATGAAGTATTTTAATGTTGTTTTGCTGTATCATAAATGCGATATAGATTATTGACAGGTTACGTGGCCGTATATAAACGGTTGTTAGGAATGTAACCCTCGCCCAGCGGCGGCTCAGGTCATATAATTATGCAAATGACAGTTTATATAGAACCGTATATATGTATAAAATCTTCATAACTAATATTTTGAACAAATGTAACGATATATGATCCTGGCCTTTCGGCAAGGGTTTCAAACTACCGTTGACAACGGTCAGAGATCCTGCAAAATGTCTTTATAACGGAATTACAAATAAGTGTACCAATAGCGATCGTTGATGAGAATGAAGTACAAATAATGATTAAAAGATAAAAAAATTCTAGGATAAATCAACAATCACAAAGTGTAAACTAAATTACAATTTATAATAACTTATTATAACGCTCATACTAATGGCATGACATTGTGTTACAACCGTGATAAATAGTCAAAGTTTCCAAAACTTGCCCACTATGTAGAATGAGAATTATAATCTAATTTTTAAATATCACAAATTTCGAACACGTGACAGCATATCTCACAAATTTAAATAATCTCTCTGACACGAACAATCATATATGATTCAATGTCATAACCAAAAGTCGAGCACAAAATACATATTTAGCACAGAAACGAATTAAATGAAAAATTAAGGCCGATGAAGTGTTATTATCTGAAATAATTTATTATGATTTACGGGATTCCATGGAGGCATTAGAAATGCTGTGCAAATAAAATAATATTCTTCAATGCTATATCTTACGAAGCATTTTTATTAAGTAATCAACAGTAACATTATATTGTTTCTATAGTCTTATGGTAGAATCTCGAAAAAGTTGTAACATGGAATGTTTGTTATTTAACACAGTCAATGTATAATATTTTCAAGCACAGCAAAAGTAAATGTTTTTAAATTTAAATTATTCTCTTATAGAAAGACAGTGCATCTTTTAAAGTCATTTAAGAAATTTTATTAAAGCATTTTAAAGGGCAGCGTTGCAGATGACCATAAACGCATTAACCAAAACACAACAAATATCCTTGCTCCAGAAAATAGATTTGTGTCAGTCACAACATGGCGCTCTGAAATAGTTCCGTCATCACCTTATTAGTTTTTTTTATATCAAAAACAATGTTATAACTCTTTATGATAAAGTACCACCATTCTTTGTCATTGCATTTCAAGACTGCCTCTTTTTTATCTAGACAAACACCAAACTATTAATCTTATACTATAAATAATAAGTTCTGCAAGAACGCATGCATCTTAAAATATGTGGTTTACCGAGGCTTAATACAAATGATATTAAATTTGCAGTTACCATATACGTTTCCGTAACCATAAGTCAACACTCCCACGTCTTGTTTAAGATATCTATGACGAATATTGTAAACAAATTATCTTTTATATAAAATTACTCAAGGAAACAGACTATGATGTTACTTTCAATAAAGGATGGGCAATACATTCAATCAGAAATGTCTGTGAGTTATGTGTTACTTTGAATATGATGTTTGTATCATATGATTACTAAATATTAAAACCATAACAACAATTACATGTCTCAAGATGTCAAGATGCCTTTTATACTTTTAAGTATGTGGGTTTCTGATATAATAAAAGATTATATTTTTGTAATTGAACAGTAAAATCTACCAAGATATAATAAGACAATTTTTGGAAAATACCTCCTGTTGGAATCTCATAATTATGTGCAATTATAGATAATTATAAAAGTCATATTATTTAAAATATATTGCCACATGAAAATAATGATAATTATTACTTAAGAAAATTGCAATTGATAAAACAACTATACACTTATTCTTTGATAACAATATGGACTCGTTATTGAATTTAAAAGAAGATCAAGAAATTCAGTAAGAAGTCCATATTGTTGAACATTTGGGAACACAAAACATTATGAGTAACGGTTTTGCCATAGGTAAAGCACTGCAAGGTTTTACCCGTGGCGAAAAGGTGAGAGAAAAACTAAAAGAGTAACGAACAGGCAGAGACAACTGACGCTATCAGCCATTAACTATCAAATATTTATATTTATTACAAAATATGTTTCGTCCTATTTATTGACAAACGCTGTTTTATTATATTTTTTTACGTCTTTACTGCATATTTATAACGCTTAACGAATAAAGCTGGAGTAAAAAAGTTTAACCTAAGATTGAGATGAAAACTTAATAATTTATTAAGCAACAAAAATTATTAATGATTTCTGCTTCAAAAATATGTCTGAATTTGTTTTCACTACTGTATTCACTTCCATATTTCTGGTAGAGATCTTTTAAAAATATGTTTACATAATTTTATTTAAGACGAATTTAGTAAAATAAGTATACACCTTGAGCAAAGCAATTTTATTCTTTTTTACATGCTTTAAGGTATTAGTGAAATGAAGAATTATGTACATAATATTTTCGACATCTCGCCTTAAACACTACACTTTCTAGGGTCAAAAATATTGCTTTTTTTCTTTAACGTTAAGAATTTAAGAAGAGTTTATCAATTTCTATGTACAGCTTAACAATGTTGTTGACATGGACTTCGAATTTAACCATACGTCTTAATTGTTTGTGCTTTTAAACAGACAGTGTTAGGATGATAAAGATATGTTTTACAGACAAACGGGATTATAAAGTTTCACACATTACAAATGATGCATCATTTTAGTTAGTTGATTAAGAAAAATATCAAGATTAAAGAAAATTTCGACAAATTCAAGACTATTCAGATAGGCACCCTGAAATTAATAAGAAGAAAAGAAAGAATTAATACTCGTAGCTCGTGAAACAAATTGTTAACTGTTAGATTCGATATTTGATGTTGACTTGTATATCTTAATGACTTTATTTGGCGGCCACAAGATAATATCTCGTTTCGATGAAAATAAAAAGTGCAACGTCACCTCTGCGCTACCATAGTGTCTTTGCAAGTAGTATAAAGCCAGCAAACGTGCACAATCTTCGGCTTTGACAAGACTCTTCACTGTTGACTGTCCTCAAATTTATAAAAGACAGTCTTATAACCGCCATATAAACACATCTGCGGATGTTTCAAAATTCAAAATTGTACCAGTTCATGTCAAATGTTGAATTCTGCTTAAGCCGGTGTTATGGGGCGTGGACGGTAGTTTGCACTTGACAGTACCGTCCATGAACAGGCTTAATCAAACCGAACCTGCAACATTTTCAATTCTGCAGTGTTTGCCTTCTTTAGGGATTTTCATTTTCTCTATTTTATGATAAAGACGTTGTGCAGGTCCATTTAACAAATTCAGTGTAAACTATGATATTAAACAAGATCAACAAGGAAAGGCGGCGTTCAATGAACGCAACCCTCATATGACCCAGCAACAAGAACCAGTGGCAAGGAGCCCAGGCGGACCCCAAACAAAAACAGGACAGGGCAAAGACAGAGCACGGACAGGTTAATCACTTAATGTAAAACAGATGTGTAAAACTGTTTGGACGCAGACATTTTGTCTCGGATAATACAACAAACGAATCTGGTGCCATTTATCTAGATTACTTTTAAACGAAATGTCCGATTTCTAGGATAGTATTGGATTCCTCTAGATATATATCACTGTGATTTATCTATAATACAAATTTAATAATTTTAGAATTGACATAAAAACGGCTTTCATAATAAACCCAAACACATAAGCTAATTAACAAACAATAGAACTTGGAGGAACCACATTTATTTAAAACGTTTTTCATGAAATTTCATTCTTTCGTAAATAAAAAGGTATTAGTGATTATAAACTAAAATAACAAATCTTAAAATTCAAGCTTAATCCAATTGGCAAAATTGATATTTTTGTACCTGATTAAGGCTGACTGAGCTTTGCCACCAGTATAGATTGCCCAGTTTACACATCTTTGCAGTTTACACAAGAATTGGTAATGTTCTACATTATTTCGATGACCTTAAATATATAGGTAGTTACTTATTATGGAATATATGATAAACGTAAAAATGATGAACATAAAATAATTCTTAACATAGGGAGTAACACGTTTTAGCACTGCTTTCGTGTTTTCACTCTTTAATACATTTACTTGTAAATTCAATCACAAATACAATGGTTACAAACAGAACTTCAAGCTACATAAAAATTATGAGATTAAACATCTAGATAACATAGACAAAAAAGGTTACAGAGTTAACGTAGATTTAAATATATATTCTGGTAATTCATTTAATCTGTTATCACTCAAGTTGGTTTGTTTGATAACCAATCTGCAAAACGCAAAGTCGTGTATTTTATAGAAATAAACAATAAACTTGGATAAGTTGAAACGACAAATTTATCTCGGTAAGAGTATATAGACGACAAGTGTCTTATTTTGTTTGCAATTATTCCAGATCATGGTTATGTAGAGACAACATAGTTAACTGCGGTAGGAGGTGAAAAACAAGTGTCTTATTTTGACTGCAATAGTTCCACTTTGTGTTTTACATGGACAACCAGTCCACTATTTTCATTCCGTATTAGTTTTTGGATCAATCTATTTTTGTTCCGTGTAAGTTTTGATTAAGCTGTTATATTCCGTTTTAGTTTTGATTAAGCTATTTAAGTTCGTATCAATCGGCAGAAAATACTTGTTTCGAAGTCATTTTTTTTCTTTTACTAGCTCTGGTTGAAATATTTACCATACAGACATTTTAAGGGAAGATTAGCATTGTTAACAATTCTCTATGATTTTGTAAAATATTTGCCCGATAGTGCAACCGCGTGACAACTCGGCAACTATTGTGTGATAAAGAATAAGGAAAGCTAATCTCGGAAAAAGACTTTTATGTATTCTATTCCATTTATTTTTGTCATTCGAAAGATATTATGTTATATGAATCGTTTATGTATGCAATATGAATTTCAAAGGCCTTCCTCTGTTTGAAACTATGTTGAATTAAGATCATAAGTTTTAAAAATGGAAAATGATTTTGTTTATCAAATTAATATAGTTGAGACTCCATGTACATTTACTGGATATCAACCTTTTCAAAGTGGATAAAGACAGAAAATAGCACGGAAACGGACCCGGGGGATTTGAAACACTAACTTAAATACATTTTTGTTCATTTTTCTTTATAATGTGTTAATATTATTATATTAAATTAAGTGATTCCTAAATAAGTCAAAACTTATCACGACAGCAAACTACTGTAACAATACCATATAACAATAGATATTTCATTTGATTGATTTTTTTGCCTTGTATTCAACATTAACTACTATAGAGTGCTTAAAGTGTTGCACTTGAAACTTGAGATACAAGAACGAGAAGAGAAACGACACTTTCTTATATTATGAATAAATGCCACAAATATGACGGCTTAAAACATTTTATGACAAACATGCATTATGAAATATCATTTGCTAGGTAAAATAGCAAGACAAAAACAACAGTTTTATTGAATTATGTATGCTTCAAAACTTGAGATTAAACACAACATGTGCACATTCCTTCTGTTATTATTAGAAAGGAGTGTTAAGTACTGTGATTGAAACGTCAATATTATACAAAAGGAATCACAATACGTTTAGACACAATGAAATTATATTTTCATTGTAAATTCATTTTTAAAGTTGCTTTAGTGTTAACTTTTGTCGTTCATATAGGACTAACATGTAGATTATATTACGTGTATAAAAACTTCAAGAACACTAAATCTATTAGATATCCCAAGATATTTACTTCGGGAGCAGCACGTAATTTTACTTTAAAGAAAGAAACTGTACAATTTCCAAATTATACGGGACCTGGTGCTAAAAGTGAAATAATTTTTTTTCCTGATGGAAAAAAAAAATTCCAAATCAGAAAAAATGCGTTCAAAAGTGGTGTAAACGTTTTTATGAGTGATGTTATTGGAATTAAGACGGCCTGATGCATGCAAGAAAATAAAATATCCCGAACACCTGCCTTCAGTAAGCATTGTGATCACATTTAGGGACGAACCTATATCATGCTTGCTAAGAACAATTTATAGCGTGCTCGAAACGTCTCCTGATAAACTCATACACGATATCATCCTAGTTGACGATGGATCTGTGGATGAAAAATTGAAACTTGCTGTTAATATACACGTTTCAAATGTGCAAAAACTTAAACTTATTGTAGTTGAACGTCCATTAGGTTTGATGATAGCTAGAACAAAAGGAATCGAGCAAACTGTGTCTGATTTCTTCATTGTTCTTGATGGACATATAGAAGTAACACCGGGATGGTTAGAACCCATAATTTATAGACTTGTTCAGCAACCCAATGTTTTACTGACTTCTCATGTTGGGGAGATTGGTCGGGATATCTTTGAATTTATATTAGATGATCAGTATAAACTGTTTTGTGCGTTTGACCCTATCACAATAATTGAGGAATGGTTGACATATTCTCGGGCATTTCGGGACATAAGAAATGGGTGTGTGGAACCAATTGAGTATGGTACTATTCCTGGTATGATGACTGCCATGAGAAAAGAGTACTTCTACAAACTTGGAGGATTTGATACCGGTATGGAAGTCTGGGGTTTTGAACACATAGAGCTATCTGTAAAATTATGGCTTTATGGCGGACGTGTTGAAATGATACCTTGCTCTAAAATAGGTCACTTGTACAGAGATATTCCCTGGCAAAACATGTACCCCGATTTTGATTATAAAAAGAAAAATAAGCTCAGATTTATTCTTATTTGAGTGGGTGGGGAAAGCAAAAAAATTAGCTTTTGAAGCATTGCATAGAGGAAACTATTCTAAACAAATTGATCCTGGTGACCTTACAGATAGATTTAAAATAAAGATATTAAATAATTGCAAGCCATACAAACATTATATTGACCAACTTCGCAAAGTTTCTAATCCGTTTATCCCGAAAATTGTTCGTAAAAGCGGGAACATTTTCAATAAAGCTACAGACCAGTGTCTAGAAATTACTAGTATTGATGGTATTTTCGAGCTTATAACATCCCATTGTGGCGATCAGGTGAGCCAGTTTTGTTTACTCACCGACAATATGAATATACGCATTAGCAGCCATTGGATTAAACTTGATGGACGGAAAAAGAAACTTTCATTTCCCACACAAGCTCAATACCTACTCGTTCCAGAATTAAAATGGAAATTTGATGAAAGCAATGGTTTTATTATTAGTAATACAAGTATTGGTTGTTTGACAGTGAACAATTATTAACAAGTATCTATCAAGGCGTGTAATGATTCTCCTTTACAAAAATGGAGTTGGCTTCCTTGAAATTCTAAGTGTGCCATTTATGACATTTACAATTATTTACATTGTAAGTTATGAGCTTCAAAAACATAAGGATCTTTTATTCTGTGAGAAAAAATTTGCAATGATTACATTTAGCTATAAGGATTTGAATACCTTTATATTTTCTAGAGTGTTCTTTGATTAGATTTATTTCTTTAAAAGAGCAATTATAGCCTCCGTGTTGACTGTAATCTTTATAACAGTGAAATTGGAATATAACGTTTGCTCAGTCAGCAGTAAAAGGCTTAAACATATATTCATACATTGATAAGTTTATATTAAATTGCTTGAGAAAAAAAATAAACATGAATATCTATATAAGCAAATATTAGCCAAAAAAATTAATAAAAGTCCTTCCAAATAGTATGAGTACGATAGAATATATTAACCTCGTATCATTTTAAATCTATTGAATTGGCGCCAATGAATTTTGTGAAGTGATATGCAAGAAATAAAATGATAATTTAAATGATAACATAGCACTTGCTTCTAGAAAAAAAAACAATAGAACATTGACATCTGCTTTAATCCAACAAATGAAAATAAGATTCTTAAATTATATCTCTTCAGCATAAAATATATCCAGCTGGCTTACAGATACTCCTGCCAACCGGTCTAATGTTCCACTACCGTTCACTGACTTAAGTGTATTTGTATAACAGCTAATGGAACGTAGTTAACGGAACATCAGTGTGTCTATTCAGATGCCCACTCGTACCTTAAAATATACTGAAGAGTTTTTTTTAAATATTCCGCCACAAGTCAAGCTGGAAAGTTGCCATACAGTGTCAGCATGACTTATAACCCACTTAAACCCAGCCACTCTATCAATTGACAGTAATAGAAAATCTAAAATGGTATTTTATATATACTGTATGTAATATTGTTGAAAGATACTTTATTCAATTGTATCAGACATGTGTCATTGAAACGCACTTTTTATGTGTTGTTTAATTTAAATCACGCTACATGTATTTGTAAGGATATTTGCATGTGAATAAAGCAAAAAATAGGAATTAATTAAATTCTTTTAATATTGACCCATCAAAGTGTAAATGATGACAGTACACGTAAAAGTCAAAATAAGTTTTTATCTTGCAACATTAGCTTCCGATTTCATATTATTATTTTATCATTTATCATATTATTTATGAATACTCGTATCTTATCCTAAACATTACTAATTATCAATTATTGTTCAGTCAGCATAAAAGTTACTCTAGTCAAGCTTCTGAATTTTATATCTTATTTAAGCCAACTTGACAACGAAAACATTATCACAATGTCACTAAAAAGACTTAGTGTGAACTTTGTACAAAGGAAGCATACACTTTACAAATCATCACAGTTAAGCAATTACGTAACTTATTATTTGTAAAAGCGTTAAATAATGTATGAAATGCAAGGTAAAGGAGTACAATTAATACCACATAATCGGTGATTCAGTGGTTCCTCATGGACACTATGAGATTATAAACATTAATTTACTTCGAGACCATAAATTGCAAATATTTGAACAATCAATATGTCTTGTTGACGACACCTTGTTTCATATACCATTGCATTCAGTTGTAAGTTTTTTCAAAACTCATGCATTCTTATAGCAACATTGTCATTTTAATAAAAAAACGCTAATATTTGTTCGATAAAAAGGTTTGGTCCGGCACTTTTTATTGTTGAAAATTGAGTGCCGCTCAAGTCGGTGCTAGGGGTGTGAGGGATGTTGCACATTTTTATTACCCCTCATGTACAGACACAAGCAAATTTCATATATTTTTGCTGTTTTTAAAGCTTCCGAGGTATCACATTTTCCAGATATTTAGATGAAGAAGCAAAATCAATGATTGCAATTCTTTTCAATTTTTGTTTGTTTGTTTGTTTGTTTGTTTCATTTTACGCCTTTTCCCAACAGTATTTCAGTCATATAGGCGGGTAGTTTCCTAACCATCGTTCCTGGAGAGTTACACCAGTACTAGACTACCTTCCTCCGCGCTAAACTACCAAAGCATCTCCCGGGGATCGAACCAACGTCAGAGAGGTAACTGGATTAGAAGTCATCTACTCTAACCCCTCGACCACGGAGGCGGGTAATTTTTTTTTTTTTTTTTTTTTTTTTGTGAGAAATGGTAGCAATAATATCATATTTGTGCAACCGCACAGTATGATTAAATGAAAGCAAGACTTCGTTTATAAATTAGTGGCATGACAGTTGATATAACCCGGTAAACTATTCCTTATTAAGTCCTGTACATAAGGTTGTTACACAACAGATATTTTTTAAGTATTCGATAACAGATAAACTAAAATAATTATGCTAAATGTTTTTCTAACGTTAACTGGTGACATAACAGAAAAACTAAAATATCTTTTATGTTCTAAAAGTTGCTAGTTCTTGCAATGCATGTATGGTGTGTATTTAGGATTAGTTGTGGCATAACAAATCAATCTTTACGGGTATTCTTGAGTGACGGCATTGCCCAATGGTGAACGCGACGGACTAGAGGTAATATTAGGAATTCTGACCGAGTGGCTCGAACCTTGTCAGGGGCAAGGTAATACAATAATTATATATCAAAGGAAAAACGTCGACGAAAAGAATAAAAAAGTGTACATATACAGGCGACCTGCAATTTCGTTAGTCACCACCTTTTAATAACAAGCAATCTTTAAAACGTGTTTAGTAATCATAATCAGCTCTTTACATTTCTTACATAATCCACTTTTAGATATATCTTTGTCATAGATAAGGTAAAATTTTCTACATTTATGATTGTACTTTATTGTTCATCAGTTTTTTCACAAATACAATAATTATCCTGAACAAAATAATCTGACACTCTGCACAATTGACAAACATAAAATGGAAAACTATTTTGGAAAAAACTATTTCCAGTCAAGTCATGTCAGAAAACAAAGCACAGCTGAGTCCCTTAAAGAACTAGTTTTACATTTCTTTTTCCATTTTGAATAGGAATGCTTTAGACAGCAACATTTATGTCATTTGAAAAACAAAACAGAAAATATAGACGGAACCAAAACAAATATAGCATACACATTATCAAGTTACCGCAGAAAATAAAAATCTCGCCTACGTAGTGTTAATAAACACTATATAAAAACAATCAAATCTAACACATATGCAAAACCAAACTACTTTCTGTTTTTTTTTTATTTTACCGAGATTTCAAAATATATGAATATATTGAAAAACGTAGGACTCAGCTTCCATTAATACAATGTAAATACTCATATTCATATCAAACCTGAAAGTAATTGCTGTTTATATTAACATATGTCTATTTTTCTTTGTTGTTAAACTGTTGCGTATCTGTTTCTGCAATCATTATAATGTAACTCAAACAACTATTCAGAACATCACATTAATGGCTACATCAAATAAATCTGATATTATCAAACTAATGGACATTGCTTCCTCAAAACAGTTCAGACAGTTAAGATAAGGTAGGTTGGCACAAAATGACAAGTGAGATAAAAGTCATCAAAATCCAATGAGAGAGAACAGTTTGCATACAATCTGGTCGCAAATTTCGTTTAATACTTGGTGTTAATACTTTCAATATAGCACATCAAAACTTAGGAATCTTTTTTCAGTTTTCAGATGTGACATATACAAACCATGTATCGTCACATCACCTTAATTCATATCCTAAGTATTGAATGAATGAGTCTATTAAATGTCTTTTTTACTAATGCAAGCTTCAAATTTTCAAAATTATTATTCTTTCAAAAAGGAAAGAAAAAAATCATTGCTTCGACGTGTAACGATTTAAAGTACCTCTGAAATCGTTCGAAAAAGCCTGTTTAGCTATAACAAACAACTTTTTTGTTGTGATTTCAATAGCACATTATTAATAGTGATCTTGAAAAGACCAGATATATTCTGTTCATAAAGTTTTGTTTATTTTAAATTTCTATTAAAGAAACTAAATTAGATATCAATGATCGCTTCGAGAAAATCATGTGTCAAGTCAAACTAATCAATTTTAGTCCATGACGAACTAAAAAGAGATCATGTATAGTGTAGACATTGGTTTGCTTTCCTAGCACATATTTTTTATTTTTAGACTTTATGAAAAGAAAGAACCAGTAAGGATTTTACAACGTCACATATGTGAGAGGTTATGCTGTAATGTACGAGCATAAAAGGGACACCTAACATATTTTGTTCCTTTAAAACTATATTAACTTGTATTTTATGACAAGATTTAAGGTGTCAAAATGATTATTTTACTGTACAGTAGCCTTGTTTAGCGTTTGTTTCATTATATTCTTAGTATGTTTACCAGTATCTTACCGACTTAATGTTTTAACCTATAATTAGATACAGTTTATTGCTATTTAAACCGCAACGTTTCTAAGAAATTATTTTCCGATTGTGTGGAATAAATATGTGTTCATTTAGGCATTT